AAAATATTTTTTGTCCGATTCATCGATTTTTAAAATAATCGTTAGTTGCAGCCCTACTTTCTATTAACTCCTTCAGAGAAGAACCAGACAACCAACCTTTGTTCTCAACAGATCCTCCTTAGTCGTGCTTCTCCAGCTGTGTTTAAACATGTTTGTGGGGTTAAAGTGTGACTATGAAATGTTTCCCCGACCAGTAAGGAAGATGTTAGAAATCCTAAAGATCTGCTATTTTCTTCTCTGCTGTTTGTTTTCTGCCTGTTTTCTGAGGTCGACTTGTCATGATCCATAAATTCTCCAAATTTGACCACATTCCTCTTACATACAAACGGGTTCCTTTTTGTTTAGACTTGAATCCACTGATGAATGACATCTCTTTGATGAAGCCCTAATCAGACTTGGAGGTTTGAATAAAAAATGAATTAGGATTGGATGAGAGCGTAGAGTGGAAGGATAGCGGTACGGAGGGTTTTTTCCAGCGTTCCCATGAATGACTGGGTGCTGCGCTGTCTGCAGGGCGGCAGCGAGAGCTGGTTTACCGAGAGCAACGTGGCCATCGCCTCCCTCGCCTTCCACCCAACGGCTCAGCTCCTCCTCATCGCCACCAACAACGAGCTGCACTTCTGGGACTGGAGCCGCCCCGAGCCGTTCGCCGTGGTCAAGACGGGCAGCGAGACGGAGCGAGTAAGGTGGGTCAAAGAGCATCGGCGAGCAGCGGGGCCAGGAAGCTCTGCCGGCATTCCCAACCGGAGTCATTAAACCAACAAAGCTCAGCTGGCTGGAACCGGTTCTATGAAAGCAGCATAACTTTTACTCATAGATTAAAGGGATGTTTCAGAGAAAAATCTTAACATGTATAGATTTAGAATCTTAAAATGAGCTAAAATCGTCCTGCTAGTAGCTGCTGTCATTATTTTCCTTCCAAACTTTCTGTAATTGTCTCCTGTAAGGAAACTATTTATGATCATTTTTTTTAAAAAGCAAGCTCTACTTAAACAAGGAGGAGATGGTGTGAAAGTAAAAGGCTTGTTTCTGTCCTGCTCTCTGTAGGTTGGTGAGATTTGATCCTCTGGGTCACAACCTCCTCACAGCGATTGTGAATCCATCCAATCAGCAGGTGAGTTTAAGCGCCATTTCTGAACTTTTACATGTTAAGATGGAAGAAAATCAGTCAAATCCAGTTTCCACACCAAGGTCTCAGTTCTTTACATTCCTGGTATCCATTGATCTGAGGTTTTCCAGGTTTTCTGGAGATGCTTTAAAGTTCGTCTTCGGTCTATGGCCGTTTTTACATCCAGTTTAAATGATAAAGATTTTTCCAAATTAAGATCCGATGTGTGTGATGTTTAGGGCTGGGTACCGAACTTCAGTTCTTTTACGGTACCGACCG